TGCCCAGGTTTCCTGCAACCCAAGTGCCAAGTCAACAGCTGTCCGTCCCTTTCACATGTCTGTGCTTAATGACATTCAGCGGTCATTGCAAGGATTCGACCCTCACCCCATCGTGACCTGCAAAGCAATACGCCATGAGCACGCCAAGGGAAGAGGAAGAACCAAACAGCTCCAACAGTTTGACACTGCAGTAGATGCACAAGCTGAATGCACCCAGCCAATCATTGTCACAGTCAGGCGCGAACATGAAAGCCCCATTGCACATCTGGTCGGACCACAGCAGGATGGAGATGACACTGAGGATGAACAAATGGATGAGCACGATCACCCAGTGTTGCCGGCATTTGTCAACTACTTAACCAACAGGTTAGAAGGACTAGGGCTCAATCCTCATGACAATGACTTTGACCTTGCTGTACGCACATGGTACATTGATCATCGCACCATTCATAGATGGACTGCACCTCGCATTCTGCAATTGGTTGGACCTCCAAGGGGATGGGAAGCACAAATTCAATCCTTGTGGGTAGACCAAATCAACAACGATGACTGGTTCGATGTGATCATTGTAGAGCCTGATCCCCCGAGACTTGCACGACATGCGTTTGTAGTATACGACATGATTGTCACCCAGTCTCTGAACATGCCACGTGTCGCTGCCATGGTCACTGTCTTGCCAGGTAGAGCCGACACCTTCCAGATGTATTCGGTGGCCTGTTCATTGCCTGAAGTTGTCAGTGGATATGAGTTGGTCCAAGCAGCTGACGCAGGGAGACATTGTAGACATGCCGAATGCCTCATCACATACAGATGGATTCAAATCCCCAACACTTTACGTCCAACACACCAGGTTGGTCATGGTGATGGGTTTCAAATTGTAGTCCATGATCAGGAACGCCTCTCCCGGTCAAAACATGTAGATGATGCAAGTTCGTCAGAGGCCATCACTACCAGTCCGTCATATTCTCCCGGAAGACATGCTCAGGCAGCCTCCAGCACTCAGCCAGCACGTTTCACCACCATGCTTCATCTTTTCCAGCTTGAAGGTGTTGAAGTGTGTTGTCAAGTCCTCAATGACCAACGCATCTTGCCGACCCAAGAAATTGCAGATGCACTGCACATACCACTGGATTGTCTAGAAGCTATCCATGTCATGCCGCACACGCCTTTTCAGATGCCAGAATATGACATGGTGGCTGTAGTCCAACGTACTGGTGACCTATCGCCCAACACCATGGATAGGCTCATGCTTGTTGATATTGTCTATCATCACCATCCAGACTCGAATGGAGTGACTCACAGACCCACTCTGGTGCGGGAAGTTCAACGCGTTGGTCATCAGATTTTGCACCAGCAAATCTTGCTGGCTGCAGCCGTGCATCACTATTGCATCCTAGTGACCACACAATGTGCTGTCACATTCGATGGTGTTTTGTGGCCTGAAGATGAACACAGCCCGAGACCTGTGCATCATGGTTCATATGCCCAAGTCATAGTGCCACCACCACCCACGCATGACCTCCCCACCCAAATGGCTGTAGAGGTTGTTCACCAAACCGTTGAGCATGAGGACACACAAACAGCCCTCTTTGACCCAGCCAATGCTGATGATGACACCGAAAATGCAATTGACACAGATGATGCCGACTCTGATGACATTCAGCTTACACAAGTGGCTGCGAAATATCGCAATGTTGCCACTTTTCAAACACGTTTGCCTGCAGATGCCGATCATCTTCCACAACGCAAGCTAAAGTGGAAACATGATCCACTTGCGCAGATTGTCGATGATCCACCACCCCAGACTGGGCCCCGACCAGATGAAAGTTCAGAGCCATGCACGAGTACAACATCGAAGCCGTCATTGCCGACGCCTCCGCAACAGAGAAAGGTCACTGCCAACCCAAGCAGAACATCCACCTTCAGGTTAACGAATCACGCTGAGGCAATTGGTGCAATGCCCACGGATGATGACAGACCCACTCATGCTCCACAACATACAGGTGACCCAGTTGTAGAGCCACGCACTGCACGGTGCCCGAAGCAGCTCACCATCACAAGCTTCTTCAGAGCGCCACAGGGTCAGAAGGTTCAATCTGAAGCCAAGAAGCAGACAACCATTGGTCAGTTCTTCAAGGTCAAGCCCAACCGAGAAGAACCTGAGCACCGAAGATGCCTTGATGTGTTGCCTTCTGCTCCCGACTTACCCAAGCTGGACTCAATGGTGGTTCCAATGCACAGTCCAGTCACACACACTCCGGCAGTGCAAGCACGCACAGGCTATCACCATGAAGCTGAACCCCCCACTTTTGAAGCGAGGGTCCCAGCTCAACCTGCTAACCCTGCAGTGCCACCACCAAGACCCATTTGGCATATGGAGTTGAACATCATCTTCCTCGAGGAAGCCATCACACACAGACGTGAAGTCGGACCTGAATTGCCCGTGGAAGTATGGTACGTGCATCATGCCGACATGCCCATATGCCGACACCCCCGCCTGATCAGATTGGACGACATACGTGATTTGTGGTACGCAGACCTATGCAATGCTTGGTTTGACCAACTCCGCAGACACCAGCCGGTCAGAGTCCATATAGTCAAGCCGACACCGCCATATCAAATGAGACGTCAAGCAGTTATCCACATCATACTGGAACAAGGGATGACCCCAGAGAGAGCCGCCATTTTGCTCACTGTTGCCTTCCATGGAGGCACCAGAATGGGCCTCATGCAGCAAGCAGAATCATCCCCAGTGGACACCTGCCCAGAACGCATCATTCAAGACCATGGCCTGCAACCTCAATGTGATTTTCGTCCATGCAACCTGTTCTCAGGTAGGTTCCGTTTTCACCACCACAACACTGAAAGAGTGCCCTCTGGCATCAGCCTATTGCTCGATGTGGGGGACCATAGGCTCCAAACACAGGCACAATCCAGCACTGATGTTCCCATGCTTGTTGAGCCAAACGACACCACTGAAGTGGATGAAGCAGACATCATGGATGATGCAACTGCGTTGATGCAACGGCCCAGGTACAAAGCGTTTCCCAGACCAACAACAGGCACTGGTCAGGGCATCCCACCAGCGCCTACCAGTTCTTCATGGTTCACTATCTCCCAGCCGATTGCACCCACAGGTACCAGCCAACACCAGCCGGTCCAATGGACCACCATTCAGGTCAGAAACCTTGCAGATTTCCATACAATGCTGCAGTGGTTGTCGAACCGTGCACAACAAGACCGTTGCCAACCGGATGCTGGTCAAGCCAAAATTGCCACTTGGTACCTGCAGCCACAAGTGATGCCACGTAGTGACCACTATCGTGATGTCCTGTTGTCTGCCAACCCGTCCCTGTGGCCGAGTGAGGTCCTTCAGCGTTGGGCTGATTTTTTGCAACCATCCCAACCTGTTGACCTTTATGTAGTGCAGCCTGATCCACCTGGAGGAATGCCCGATGTTTTTGCCCATGTTATTGTCACCCAAAATGCACCGCCTGACCAGGCAGCAGCACTAGTCTCTGTTACTGAACTGCTTGAAGACCCGTGGCACCCATCGAGATTTGCCCTCTTCTTGCATAACTAGCGATGCACTATTTGACCATGCAGGCATTCCGCCAGACCAGGTTGCAGCCACACCTGGGCTTAGCGCCTACCATGGCACAACACACATACCTCATGGAAGCTCTTACCCAGTGCACTCGGGTTTTGCCTTCGAAGTGGTCACTGACTCACTTGACTTTGAGGAAGAAGGAAGTGCTCTCCTGCAAATCCCCCATGCCTGGCCAGGAAAGGAACACCAAACCCCTGACATGCCCAATGCAGCTACTGACCGCAACAGCCATGCTGTTTGCTGTGAGCAACTCCTGGAGTTCTTGCGACAGCTTGCTATGGCCATGCAGCAAATCACCACAGCTCTTTCCTCCAGAACGGTGGTTTCAATGAAGCACATGCAGTCAGAGCCTCACCCAGAGGTAACACAACCCAGCCATTCCTCACTATGCAAGGTCCCCCCAGTTGAAGCTGATGCCGCTCATTGCACCACACCAAGACTGGGACGACAACCCGACACCCTGCACCGATGGCAGCACCTAGCTGCCATCAGACCCAAAGAGGCCCGTCCTATGGCACCCATCTTGACGTGGTATGTGGATCATGAGCGCTACCCACAGTGCTTTGCCCCAAGAGAAGTGTTTGTCACTCGCCATCCACAAGCATGGAAGCGACTCATCCTCCAAGCATGGAATGACCTTTATTTGCCTGCCAATCAGGTTGAAATCGTCATCGTCCAGCCAAATCCAATCATGATGGAAGAACACTTAGTAGCGCATGTGATGGTGCTCCAACAGCAAGTGCCAGGATTCACCACTGCGCTGCTCACCACACTGGACAGTGCTACACCTGGCATACACAGGCGCCTTGCCACCATTGCCCCAGCTGAGCTTAGCAGAGCCACGCTACTTGCGCTAGCCTTCCATCCCCAGGAATGTGAGCAAGCATACAACACCTGCGACACATGGGTTGGGGAAGACGCCCTGGATGAACAGGCGCCCATGCAACTCTTGCCAGGGTCATCATGCACTGCTGCATTGCACCGACATAGGCCAATACCACCAGGTCAACCAGACCCATGGAATAGCAGTACTCCCAAACACTGCCCATATCGAGTGACGCTTTGCTTGCAAGCAGCCCTTCCTGCGAAGGCACCACCAGCGCAGGTCAGTCTCGATGATGACAGGCCGCAATTGCTTTGGTTTGCCAATGAAGCCTGGAAACTTGCCCTTGAAGCTGAACTGCCATTGACGCTTCTTCCCCTGCCTGATGGGCTTGTAGTTCCTGAGCAATCCTACTGGCCATTGCTCCAACCGCCACCATTGCCAGATGCAGCCGACATGACATACACACTCTATCTGGATGGAGCGGCCAATGGCCAGGAAGCAGGATGGAGTGTCATTGTGATTGCGAGCAGCCACCAGCAAGAGGCTTTCCTTGGATGCATTTATGGTACTGTACAGCTCAGCCCCCAGCACCCTGACTGGCTAGGGGCAACCACAGCGGACAACATCTCTGCCGAGCTGTCGGCCATGGTTGCTGCTCAAAACCTCGCAATGCGATGGTCCGGCAACAACCAATTTTGTATCCGACCTGACCTTTCGCTCAGCCACACCGTAGCCACAGCCTCAACCACATGCAAGTCCAACCAGCCCCTTGCTAAGCTATGTGGAGCTTTGGGTCTTTGGCTAGGCCCCAAAGCGACCATCCATGAAGTCAGAGGCCATCAAGGGCATGCCTGGAACGAACTAGCAGATGCCGTTGCAAAGTGGGCAATGCAGCAACACACTGACCCAATGACAGGGCAATTTGTGCAACTGCACCAACTTGCCACCAACCCACACGACGTGGATTGGGTGTGGATGCAAACCACGCATCCTGCAATTGCAACCTGTTTCCCACCGCTCAGTCAACAGCAGGTTATGCACTTCACGCAGCCTACCACTAAGCTCGGCATCTTGCCCACTGAACGCCAAAACAGCGACCATCAAGAAGCCGGACTGAAATGGGGCATTAAGGTTTGTACAACCAACGTTCTAGCAGCAGAGGTCTGGGCCACACACACTGCAGGCACCAAACGTACCGGGCAAAGGACGGTGCGTCTTGACCAGCAATGGCACCAAGCCAACATTCATGTCATCGGCGTTCAAGAGGCCCGAACGCCACAAGGACGCTACAATGCACCTCATTATCATATCCTGGCCTCAGGTGCCAAGTGCAAGAGGGCCCCACTCTATGGGTGCGAATTGTGGATCCACAAAACTTTGCCGATAGCAACAGACCCTCAAGGGAAACCCATTGTACTCGGCAAAGCGATCCTTACTGTCCAGCACGCAGATCCACGCCGCCTGCTGGTAGAAGCGAAGATCGGCCAATATGTTTATGCGTTCATTGTCCTGCATGCCCCGAGCCTTGCCACAGCAGCACACGACGTTCCGGACCCCATCGAAGCAGCCACGCAGTGGTGGGATGAAACAGCAGCCCTTTATGCCAAATATGTGACTGCTGGAGCCCAATGGGTTTTCATTGATGCCAATGCTCCCCTTGATGATGGGGATGGCTTGCTTATTGGACCTCATGGGGCTGAACCAGCCAATCATGCAAGCGCACGGTTTGAGAGCTTCATCCAACTGCAGCAACTGATGGTGCCTTCCACCTTTGCCTCAATCCATGAAGGCCCCACCACAACATGGACGCACAGCACAGGAAAGAAGAGCCGCAAGGACTACATCCTCCTCTCCCAGGACGTAGCCAAGTTGGCTAGCAAAAGCTGGGTGGAAGTACACCATGATAGCACATTTGCGCACGAAGACCACCTGCCGGTCGTCCTGCAGTGTGCCGGATGGTTACCCACGTCCAGTACCCACCCGACCATTGGATGGGACGATCGAGCCATGCTGGACCCAGCCCAGGTTGATGCATTCCAGCGAGCGCTGCGCACACTCCCACTGCCGGCATGGGACATTGGGATAGACGACCACGCTGCCCTGTATGAGCAGCAGTTGCTGGCCCTCGGCCGCCAGTTCTTTGCACGCAAACCCCGCAAAGAACGCCCTATCACCCTCAGCTCCCAGACATTGGAAGCCATTGCATTCAAAAGGCATGTGCTGGATATCGGCCGTCAAACCAACAGTATGCACCTTGAAGACTTCAAGGTGGAACTGCGCAGCATCGAAAAGACTGTCGCTCGTTTAGTGCGTGATGATATCCAAGGTTTCTACAATGACTTGCTGAAGCAGATTCAGGCCTCTGGAGAAATCTCCAACCACCGCTTGGTCTTTCGACTCCTCCATAGGTTGGGCCGCAAGAAAGGTGCAGGAGCCAACGGGCCTCGGCCCTTACCCATGATCCAGAAACCTGATGGTACCACTGCCAGCTCCTACCTTGATCAGCAGCGCACATGGATGCATCAGTTTGCAAGCATTGAGGCTGGTGTCCCCCGTACTTGGGACGAGCTTGAGCAGCAGCATGCTGCCTTGCACCCCTCCCAGCCCTGCAATGACCTTGAACCAGCAGCCTTCCCAGGCCCATGGCGCATCCGCATGCTCATTGCAAAATTGCACAGGGACAAAGTCCCGGGTCCCAACCTTGTGCCACCTGCGTTGCTTAAGGCCGGGGGTAGTGTAGTGGCTAAACAGCTTTCAGTCATGTTCACCAAAGCTGCTGCAGGCGCTCAGGAACCCCTACATTGGAAAGGGGGGATCCTGATCCCACTTTGGAAGGGAAAACTGGCGCCTCACCTGGCAGAGGGATATCGAAGCATCTTTATCTCGAATTACACTACCAAACTTTATCACCAGTGTTTCCGTGCCCATTTGGTAGATGCCTGGGAGCAAACGCTGACACACCTCCAATGCGGAGGCAGGAAAGGCATAGGTGCCGACGTGGCTCACCATATTGTACAATGCCACCAATCATGGTGCAAAGAGAAAGCAGTGCCTTCCGCTGCACTCTTCTTTGACCTTAAATCGGCATTTTACATGGTGTTGAGACAGGCCTTCACTCAGATTCCCTCCCATGATGATGCATTCATGGCAGCAATGTATCAAGTCGGGCTGTCCCCTGCCGAAGTTCACAAATTGATCACCAATGCGGCAACCGATGATGCTGTCAAAGGGCTCCCACGCCACATGCAACACATCCTGCATGACCTGTTGCACAATACCTACTTTACAGTGCAAGGCCTCACTGAACCATGCCAAACCACTCGAGGCACCAGGCCAGGTGATCCGATCGCAGACGTGTTGTTTAACCTCTGTATGCACCTCATCCTGACCGATTTCCGTGCCACCATGGAGCACAGCAATGATGTCCCGTGGTTAGGCCAAGCCAGTCCAGTCTCGGACTTGAGTGACATCCCCAGCATACCGCCCACAGGATTCATTGATGTTACCTTCGTGGATGACTGCGTGGTCCTCATCCATGGACGGTCCAACGACAGTGTTGCCAACACCATGAAAGCCGTCGTTCAAGCCATGGACAAAGCTGCCGCAACACGAGGGCTCAGCATCAACTATGAACGTGGCAAGACGGAGGCACTCTGGACCATTCTTGGTAAAGGGGCCAGGCAGATGAAACAGACTCTCCATGAAGCCGGTCAAACCCTGCAGTGGGCACACGAAGGCATTCAGTATACGATACCACTGTGCCACACCTATAAGCATTTGGGAACATGGCTCCAAGCACACCACAAGCATACCAGGGAAATCCTGGCCAGGAGCTCGGCAGCCAAGCAACAGTATGGACAGCTGGCCAGACCCTTTTTCACCAAAAAGTGTATCACCCTGCCGGTCAAGAGCGCCATTTTCCAATCCTTGGTGCTCTCCAAGATGCTTTACAATGTGCACACGTGGACATCCGTCACGCCCAAGCACATGCAAACCTGGACTAACCACCTCAAAGCCCCCGCTGGCACCCTGCCTAAGGGGCTGCTGATGGCGCCCACCAGATTCATGCATTCCACTGATGAAATGATGGCCTGCGCAGGTATCCTCCCGCTCATGGACCAAGTTCACGCCAACAGGCTTAGGTTCCTTGCACGGCTGCTTAATGCCTGTCCCCCCATCACCTGGGCGCTGATGCACCACACCACAGGACATCACTCCTGGATGGCACAATGCATGGACTCGTGCCAATGGCTGCTTTATCACTATGACAGCAAGCTTCCCCTGAGCACCTCATCGCTCTTCCAGGACTGGGTGCAGTTTGTGCGACTGGACCCCAACTGGAAAGGCAGGGTCCGAAAAACATGCAAGCTCGCCTTGTCGTACCATCGGGCCAGAGCTGACCATGCCATTTGGCAACGGCACTTTGACAGCCGGTTAGCCACCGCAGGAGCCACCCTGCCCGACAAAAACAAGCCGACGCCAGCTCCAGAGCGTTGGCAATGCGACCTGTGCCAAAAAGTGTTCACCTCCACCAGAGCACTAGCCATGCATGCGGCCCGAGGCCATGGCTACAGGAAAAAAGTCAGGTACTTTGCAATTGGAGACACATGCCAAGCATGTGGGCAAAATTTTCACACAAGAAAAAGGCTGTCGGTGCACTATGAAAAGCAGCACAAGTGCTATGACATAGTCACTGCCTGTTGGCCGCCTTTTCCCACCGACCTGGTGCAAAGCCTTGACATAACCGACAAAGCAGACGAAGCGCTGTTGCGCAAACAAGGGTGGTGGGCCGCAAAAGCTTTCCAACCGGTACAGCAGACCCAGGGTCCTACGCTACCACCTGCGGGGTCTGCGGACGCCCAAGCCATGTATAGCAAGATGATGCAGAGACGTCCGAGCGACGAACTGGCCTATACGCAGCTGCAAGGCACACGCATCACAAAGCTTCCACCAACTGACCCACAGCTTTGGTGGACACGTGCCGACCTCCCGGCCTTCATCATGCAGTCGGTCAGCGGCAGAGACTGTGCCGGCGGTGCGTTTACAATGCAAGGCCTTGCCAGAGAGACCGCCATGCTCCACGTCCGAGCACTTGTTGTGGTGCACTTCTTCAGCGGATTCCGCAGGATGGGTGATATCCATCACATCCTCGACCACCGCACCATGGAGACCGGAGCACAGGTCTTTACCATCTCGGTAGATCTATGCATGCAGCGGGTCAATGGCGACCTAGCCACGCCCCAGGCCTCACGATGGTGGCGAGAGCGAGTCCTTGCTGGACAAGTGGTGGCGGCTGGAGGAGGCCCACCATGTGAAACGTTCACTGTGGCACGACAGTATGAAGGAGGCCCCAGACCGTTGAGGGACGCAGCCCATCCCCTTGGTCTTCCGGGACTCACGCTCAAAGAGTGGGCACAGCTACGTATCAGTGACCGGCTCCTCCGCTTCCTGCTCGATGTACTCGTGGCCCTTGCTCTCATGGGAATGAGCGGCTTTTTGGAACATCCGCAATTTCCAACGTGGTGCACCAGAGGCTCCCCGGCGAGCATTTGGGCCACCGAAGCCCTCATCATCCTGAAGAACCTGGGATGCTTCAGTGTGGTGAGCTTCGATCAATGCACAGTGGGCGCCCTGGGGAAAAAACCGACCACTCTACTTCTGCTGAGACTGCCGAAGGTGCGGGACCGGCTCTTGGGACGTGGCCGCTGTGGGCGATGCAATCACCCACCTGGAACACATGTGGCGCTGATAGGCCGCCAGGAAGATGGCACGTTCCACACGGCCAAAGCCAAGGTATACCCCTACGGCCTCAACAAGATTCTGGGTGAAGCACTCTTCGACGCAGCAACACAGTGGCAACACCTCAACATCGCCACTGACTTGCCGGCGGAGTTCACTCCTTATCTGGAGCAGTCGTGCCATGCCCCCGAGATCGTACAACCGGACTATCATGGGGGCAGCTGAGTTTCACCCAGCGACATCGTGCATCGACCAACCCAAGCACCAAGACGGTGCAGCAGAGCAAATGGAAATGGAAAATGGGGTTGAAACCACCAACCAGATGATTATTAACCATCATTAACCATCATCATAACCATATATATTAACCATGTATTAACAGTATATTAACCACAATGGTAGGTTGAAACCACCAACCAGGAAATGATGCTGAGGATTTAGGGTCCCATCCTCCAAAATCATGGCGATCACCCACAAAGCAGTTTTGGCGCCTTCTTTGCCCTCCTGTGAGCCTTTTTCTATAGGTAAATCATCTACAACAGGGCAATTTTCCACGTCTATCTTAGTTTTAGTATATACCAAACTATACCAAACTATCCAGTTTGTGCTAAACTATCAAGTTTGGAGGCCGTCGCGGATGGGTTGGAACAACTCCCACAGTTTTGGCATCCCGGGATACGACCAGCAAGCTGGTGGGTGGACACCCCGAAACGGGATGATCATCTTGACCGAAACCTGAGTGATCAACCAAGCAGTCTAGGGATTTGGTCAGTGGGGTTTACTCAGTAACGGGATAACCCCCAGTTGACTTACCCAAACTGGTTATGACATTCACAGTTCACCATGGTATAGATGGCCCTAGTCGAAATAGATGGTTTACCGAACTTGAAAATGGTGGATCTTTCCATGGCTATGTTAAATAACCAGAGGGTATCTCGACTGATAAACTCACTTTTCAATCCATGGCAAAATGAATGAATGAACGAGCACTGCAACGCGCATGGCTCTTTTCTCAAGACTCAAAACAGCCCGAATGCTTGTGCGGGCGGAAAAAGGCCCTTGAGCGCCGGCCTAAACCATCTCGAGGCTTGAGCCAAAATGGCTGACATTTCCCTTCCTCATCTGATATTCATTGATATTCATTGATATTTCCCGAGATTTCCTGAGATTTCCTGAGATTTCCTGAGATTTCCCGAGATTTCCCGAGATTTCCCGAGATTTCCCGAGATTTCCCGAGATTTCCTGAGATTTCTTGAGAGACTCAGGTGGAGTACGAGTTGGACGAGGGTCTGATCTCCTTCGGCTCCTGCCTGGAACGAGGCCAATACGCCAAGGCGGTGGACCTCTTGGAGGACGGGACTCCGGGACCGGACATGGGTGGAGGTGAAGCCCAGGGGCGGAGCTGGTGTGGAGGATGGATATAAATATATATATATAAACATATATAAACATACATATATATATATATATTATATACATATTATGAGTATGGTTCTGAATATGGTTCTGAATATGCACAACAACAAAAGCAACACAAAGAAGAGAAGAAGAAGAGAAGAAGAAGAAGAAGAAGAAGAAGAAGAAGAAGAAAAAAAGAAGAAGAAGAAGAACAGCATCGCAACAAACGCCAACAAAAACAACGAGAACAACAACAAGAACAGTATCAAGAATAGCAGTAGGCCCAGTAATCATGATATCGACATTGATAATTATACATGATGGTACTACTACTACTACTACTGCTGCTGCTGCTGCTGCTACTCCTACTCCTACTCCTACTCCTACTACTACTACTACTACTAGTACTAATACTAGTACTAGTACTAGTACTAGTACTAGTGCTTATGATAGTGATGCATGATGATAACAATCATAGTAGTCACAATACTGATAATAACAATAAATAATATGGAGGCTTCCTAAAATGAGGGTACCCCTATCATCCATTTATAGCTAGGATTTTTCACAAAACAAACCATCTATCCACCACCATCCCCAGCAGCCACGTCGAGGAACTTCCACTGACGCCCGAGACAGAGGCCATGTGGCGTTCACTGGCAGATGCCTCCATGGAGCCGGGGGGTGTTTGCTGCCATGAAACTTGGAGGATCACCCAATGAAGGACTCAATAAGGGCAACCATCCCCCAAGAAAAAAGGACCGACCACAATGCAAAAAATGGCGAATTCAACCACTGGAAAATTATGGTTTGCCAAGAGAATTGTCTCAAAACTTGCCGTTTTGGGGGAGCTAGACATGCTTTTTTAACATTTTGGTGTATGGGTACAAGTCATTCACTTCCAGGTGTGGAAACCCCTGGTAATCACACCTGTTAATCAAACATGGTTTGCTGGAAAATCCCCCCATTTGTTCATCCATGGCTAGTTCGGGGACTTCCCCCTTTAAAAACTGAATGAAAACATGGAAATTCACATCAAAACCTCCATATTTATCAGGTATTTTTCCAGACTTTCCCCATCTTTTCCCCTCAAGAGTTGGACGACATCCCGGAGCTTGGCCACGTAAAACGAAACGACGCAGGAGCACTTCAATCTGCCGGTGGCCGAGCGCTGCTATGCTGTGCTGGGCGACGTGGCCAAGAGCCGATACCTGCACAAGGCGGCAAGCTCGTCGTCTCCGCTAAGACGAGCCCCACCATGGTGCACAACGTGGGATTTTCCACATGGATATAGTGATTAATAGTGGTTAATAGGCTGTAAACCAACAACAATGGGAACATGATGGTGATCTGGTTGGTGGTTTGGAACATGGCTTTTATGACTTTTCATAGATTGGGAATGTCATCATGCCAACTGACTAAAATTTTTCAGAGGGGTTGAAGCCACCAACCAGACATGGTTTGGACAGACAGATAGATAAAGTGATATGATGTGATGTGATGTGTATAATTAACATGGATAAAGACATGGTGGGCTTTGGAAAGTTCTCAAAATTTTGCCCACGTGGATAGAAATAGGATAAACCAATAAACATGGACCAAATGAACAAATGGACAAACACGGTCGAACATTGGAAACACATACATACTTGTAGGGACAAGAAACGATGGGTTTCAAATTTGGTACATCCAAAAACAGGCTGAAAAGGTGTTGGAACATGTTTTGGCATGTCTTTGGAAGCCACTTAAAAGCTCCTACAAGGGTGTGTTTGGGTTACCCTGGCAACGAAACAGTGGAACATGTGGTGTGCGATCGACGTACAATGAAGCAGTTTTCTGGTTGGGCTACGACCAAAGTCAGATTTGCTTCTGTTTTCATTTTCGAGGAAACACATGTTATTTCCTCGAATCTGTGCCAGTTTCAGATATATATATATCCAACACATCCACCACATCCACCACATCCACCACATCCCAATATCTTCAATTTCATCGCGGCCACACCACAATTTTGCCGCAGGTGAATCGCCTCATCCAAGATCATGCTGAAGAAGTGGGCGGTGATGGATCCAGTTACTACATGGCGCAGGTGCGAAACTGGCGCAGCTTCGCAGCTGAACGCGCCAAGTTGGGCCAAGTTGTGGCAAAAAATGGTGGTTCAGTTTGTATCATGGAGACATGCTGAGGATATCATGGAATATTCATGGAACATTCATATTATTCATGGGAGATTTTTAGGATGTAGACAGCTAAGATCCCATTTTCATCCATTTTCTGGAATGGAACTGGGAAAATCGGGGAGAAATCGAAGTGGAATACCTTGAATTGAATCGGTTTGGGGTCCAACATGGACCCAGTTTTTTGGGGGAAGTGTTGTCATTTGATGAGGAGCAGAGGACCCAGGGATGAACTGGAATTTACTGCCCGTGAATGTGGATGACTTCACCATTTTTTTTCCTTTCATCGTGGTTTTCCGGTTCGCTGCAGATGATCAGAGGGTACAAGGGGTGCCCCAGTTCGTTAGCTAAGTTGGTGCAAGTAACTCCAATATGGTAGATATGGTAGATATGTCTATACTTACTACCATATCCACCATATCTATAAACCATGTATATACCCATCAGACCGACGCGAGGCCAAAATGGCCATGTTGGCCAAGCAGTTCCAACGGGCAGAGGCGGTGCTGGGGAGTTGGGTATAGCAAGCTGCCCCTACCGTGAAATCGTTAGTTACTGTTAGTTGGCTTATAATTTCCATGAAATGTAGGTGGATGTATCTATCTATATATATATGATGTCCTAATTATTGGAGTTGTTTGCAGCAACCTAGCTATCTAGTGGTGTCAAAAACCGAGTTGTTTGTTGCTAAGTTTGGGGTGCTACTCACCTAAAAAGACATCATGATCAGTGCCTGAGATCCCTGGGAGATTCCCCATTTTGGGAGAACCTCCCTACGGCCCTGGGCCATGGGAAAATGCATAGAATACCAAGATAGGCCCAACCTTGTGTGCGACACCCTAGCAGCTGCTGTGAGGATCTCAAAGTGGCATATGTGCCATGGCCAAGTTTAGGGATGGTCTATGTAGGCACGAAATCTACTAATTATTATACCACTGATATAACCTTCCAATACTCGTAGCACTTCAATATTGGTAGTGTGCCTATGGCCTATACCATTTATATACGTATATATATATATGGCTATGGATCAATACCTATTAATACCATTTTTAGTGGGATGAACATCCATTTACCAACTATTTTGATGTTCACCAGGGGTACAAGGTTTTGACACACTGCCATATATATGAAACATACCAATGATCATGGCCATTTTTACACATATTTTTCCAGGCGGCTCCCGTGACTCTTCGAAAATCTGTCAGGCCATTCTGCTGGACCACAACGAGTTGGATGAAGCCCTGGCCATGTACCAGGCACGCCTCCAAGAGATACGCTTGGTGGTGCCCCAGGGAGCTGTGAAACCGCTAAGGAAACCCTAGGAACCCCTAGGAAACCATAGGAAAATGTGGGTTGAATGGGATTTATATAGCTGATTGATGATAGCTAAGTTGGATTTTAAGTAACTCCAATATCTCCTTTTTTTCACTGGGGTTTTGCTTGGTGATAGATCGAACTAGTTATATAATGGGCTTATAACCAATCTATATAACTTGGGGGCGGGCACCTTGTGGGATCCCAGAAATCCAATGAATGGAGGTTTCCCCCCAAAAAGGGCTACGAACAATGGACATAGAGTGATTTAAGTAGCAATTTAACTAAGAATCATAGTGATATGGACATTAATAGTTGGATATCCATGGGGGGAAGAAATTATCGGATATGGGGAGCATGGGGATTTTTTTGATAGTCTATTGGGATGATAGACCTAGCCATGTACTGGTGAGTTTTTTTCTGAGTTCATGGGACATTCCATGGAAAATTGCTGGCTACCTGGTCTTTCACGAATGGCAGCTAGCTACCATGGTAAAACATGATGCTATGTATATAAGCCATTTATGGGTGGGATAATTTCACGATTTTTTGGACTTACCAGGGGTTTGTATCCCGAGTTATCAGTAGGGCACGTAGGGTTATAGTCCAGTTCCACCTGCGGTGAATTACCCACTTCTCATTCCTGGGGCAAACAACAAAGTAGTGATAGTTATTGACTGCCTTTAGTAGTCGTAGTCGTAGCGGCTTCAGTGCCACCCTGGGGCTTAAGTGCCACCCTCCCGAGGCTGAAGTGCCATCCTCACGTGTCCGGAAATCGGTGTTTCTTTACGTCAATGATGAATCACAGTTGATGAGCCAACTGTTCATGTTCCCCCCCCCGGTACGCAAAGGCCCTGCCTTGGGGCAAACTTATGTGGATTCTACCTGCCCATTCTTGGTGGTTCCACAAATCATTGTGGATGATTTCCCCGTTTTCAGTTCCCAAGTCAAACACTGTACATATATAGTACCTATTAACATCCTATGACTTGCTTCAGTGTCATTTTTTGCTATACTTCAAACCTTCCCAAGACTCTGTTAATCAAAAATCCTAACCTCTTGTTGTCACTCCAGTAAACCAACATAGATATGGAAAATCAACCTGAAAGCAGATCACTTCCGAAGGGGAAACAACGATGGATTTCCATATCAACTTGCTTATAAACTGCATATACATAACATATACATAACATATACATAACATATACATAACATATACATAACATATACATAACATATACATAACATATACATAGCATATAAATAACATATACATAACATATACATAGCATATACATAGCATATACATAGCATATACATAACATATACATAACATATACATAACATATACATAACATATACATAACATATACATAACATATACATAACATATACATAACATATACATAGCATATACATAACATATACATAACATATACATAACATATACATAACATACATATATATATATATTTATATTATATATATATATGTTATATATATATATGTCCCATGAACATCCCAATGAATACACCACGTCTGACCCAACCAGCCACAGCTGGATGCTCAACAACCGCCAGGAGCTGCACAAGTACGACGAGTCGATTCGCCTGGCGGAACGCAAGAACCATCCCAAGGTGCATGGAATACATACCCTCTGGTAATTTAACATAGCTATTGAAAAGGGCCATTTATAGTGAGTTTTCCCATGAAAAATTGTGATTTTCCATAGTTATGTTAGTTTACCAAGGGTAAGGGCCTTGGTTTCCATCCCCAACCGACTGGATTCTAGTAGAAACTCATGATGTTTATATAGTTTTTTGTGCTATGGAAAATCATCATAACCAGCCAAAAATAACTTTTTAATTACTAGTCATTATGAAATTCATATAGTCCTGTAAATGGAAAATCATCACAACTAGCAAAAGGACTATCAGAGATTGACCATGTAACCACCGAACATGGGGATGTTGCTGGCAATTTTTCATGTTTGGTAGCAACGAAGATCTGGTGAAATGTGTGTATAAAAGTGTAACAGTGTAACATAGACGTTCACCAGCAAAGTTCGGCTAGGCTTGCTTATGGATTATTCCAATAATTGGGAATTGGCCCACACGCTACGTACCCTCTACTAATTTAACATCGCTATTGAACATGGCCATTTATAGTGAGTTTTCCCATTGAAAATGGTGATTTTCCATAGTTATGTTAGTTTACCAGAGGGTAAATCAAACATTGTTGGGTTTAGGTTTCATCATTGAAGCCATCCGGGGTTTATGGCCGCAACAAAATCTTGGGATGTATGTCCATCAACACATGGGGATGGCCGCAACGTGAGTTGGGAGAGGCAATTTGCCTAGATCAAAACCGGAAGCAGATGGAGAAACAGGATGAAAAAGGGCCATTTGCCACGAAATTGTAGGATTTTTTGATAGGGGGAAACCACTAACAAAAAATGGGGATATTGATGGATAGTCACCATAAATGGTTGAGCTGCCATGGCATATGGAGTTGTCCCCAGGCAGAAAAAGGATGACCCAGCAAAACATCTTATGTTAGCATCAAAAAATGGGATGGAAATCGATCAACAGGGGGATGTAGAGATATTTGGGTACCCTATTGCCATGTTCTTGGACCCAAATGGGGAGATTCGCTGGTGATGGTTTGTGAGCCCAGCAAGTTGAGCCCCCTCACCCCAAACAGATCGGTTGTCCAAATCAAAGAAATATGTAATATTGGATACCCTCTGGTAATTTGACATAAGTATGGAAAATCACCATTTTTAATGGGTAAATCAATTAGACATGGCCATTTTCCATTTCGCTATATATGTTAGTCATTACCAGAGGGTATCATTTTCGCAGATTGGGGTGAACACCCAGCAAAGACGTGTTGTTTAACCGTTGAAAATCTGTTCTTGGACTGTGACCCATGAAATTGGGGATGTAAACCCGCCAATAGAAATTGGTTATGACACACAGCTACGTGGACATGTCTTTCCGACCAGGATTGGGAGTAAACACTTTCACTTGTTTATTTGAATACCCTTTGGCAATCTATCATGATCATGGAAACTCACCCATTTCGGGATGATTGATACTAGTACTAATATACTAATATTTATGCATGATTCAACACGTGAATTTTCGCCATGTTAGCTATCCCTTCAGCCACGCAGGTGATGCATCTCAAGAACTTCTACCTCCAGTGGCTGCTATCCACGCAGCAGGAGGACAAAGACATGCAACCCGGTGTCCGAAAAAAAAAACAACAACACACACACACATGCAACTTCTGGGTTGCAAAAGGTCGCCAGGGTGTGATTTATCCAGGTTATACTGCGATTTCTGTTAATTTTCTTTGGTATGGATAAATCACACGAAAGCATCGATGAAAAACATAATATAAAGAGAGAGAGAGTTCTGGCGTTCATCTTTTAGCCATGAGTAAAAGTTATAAACCTGACATTTCATCTAGCCTTCAGCGGATCGATCATCTCTGGTGGATCTTTATTCGGCAAATCGCAGATGTTCACTGAAGATCCACATTGCAGGAGAAGGCTGGAGAACTGCAAGAGATCGAGGGCGACTATGTGAGGCACACATTTTGAAGAGCTGATGTTCATGTGATTCATGTGGCTTGTGGTTTTCTATTGTTTCAGGTTCGGAAGTCCGTTCAGACTCAAAGTAGCAAAGGAGATAAAGGCAGGGGGATTAGTTGGAAGATGTTTTTTGGTTCAACTGCCACTATGTATACATATCATGTATATATATATAATTATATATACATATATATATATGTAATTGTATATAGGCATCAATAGATTTACCACTCGTATTCATGACCGTTTTCTTCACCTGCTTCCAACTATCTTTCATTTCCCCCCACAATTGACAGGTCGACTTTTACAATGTCTTGGATCCTTGGCTCAACACCAATAATATCCAGGGGTGGCCTATCAGAAGATCCTCCCACCGCCGAGCGCCAATCGGTTCGAAGCAATGGCGGCTTTCGCCTCCTTGTTCCGCCTGGGCGATGTTTCAGCGCCGAGTTCGCGCGAAACTTCGCGCACCGGGCAGCCCGTGGCAGTGAGCAGTGGCGGCTTGGAAGCGGATTGGGGCCAGTGGGGATTGGGGCATAATCTCCAAGGACTAGCCTCTGGTAAACTAACAGTTTGCTATTGAAAATGGCCATTTATAGTTGATTTACTCATTAAAAGTGGTGATTTTCCATAGTTATTTCAGTTTACCAGAGGGTATATCCTAGTTTTCAGGAGGGTTGAACAGGCCTCTTGATTTTGAGGCACAGCTGTATGGGTGATACGTCAAGCCAGGTGGATACCCCAAATAATTCACTGTAGCAAGTTCCATTCTGTAGAACCTTCGGAGATTGGTCATCATCATCTTGGAGGTTTCCTAAAATGGGTACCCCAAATCATTAACTAGTCATTAGACTAGTTTAGTTTTGAATCCTATGGTTTTTGGGATCCACCAAATTCCAAGAAACCCCCACAAATTACAGCTGTCAGCTGCCAAGGCCCTCGGGTCCTCATCCATGGTGCCGTTCCTCCGGCAGCTGGTGTCGGGTGGCTCGTGTTGGGTGTTCTAAGGGAGGACCCTTTACAGATGGCCATGTTTACCGCAGGGAACATGTGGGAAAATGATGGAAAATGATGATCAACTCATGATCAACATCGAGATTTCTTGAGATTCCCCTTGAAATCTTCGCTCAAGAAACCACTGAAGAAGTGTGTGACCTGTGTGACTTCCGCATCACCTGGCCCAGGTCGCTGTAGCGATGGGCGCCATGGCTGCGTTCTCAACGAGGCTGTGAAGATGGTAGTGGATGATGCTGCGTTGATCGTCATTGCTATTGGTCACTATTTGTCACCATTACTATGACAATGATGATGATACCCCAGAAGAGTTATAAGATGTTATAAGGCAACCCATAATTAGTAAGATATGCCACTATTATATTATATATACTAATTATACTGTAGTAGAAATTCATTGCTACAACGCATCGATGGCGCACGCACTCACGGCGACAGGGTTCGCCCAGAGCGCGCCCGGCGGCCCCGTGCGCAGCTGGTCTTGGCGGCCAGGGAGTCGGAGGACGAAGATGGCAAGGGCCCATCAGCTGAAACGGGGGAAAGACTATATATACCCTCTGGTTATGACTAACACAGCCATGGAAAATCACCATTTTTAATAGGTAAACCATTTATAAACGGGCCATTTTCCATGGCTATGTTAAATAACCAGAGGGTAGACATAGAATGATATATAGATACACATGAAATACATTATATAGATAGATAAGATAAGATAAGATAAGATAATATAAGATAAGATAAGATATGGATAGATAGATGGATAGATGGATAGATAGATAGACAGATAGTTGGAAATACGTATCTATAATACCAGATGAACCGTGATTTTAACAAACGGAAATGGTGGATTCTTGTGACCACTGGGAATTTGATGCCACTGAGTGACCCCTGCAGGATCAGGAGGTAGAAGAAGATTACTTCGAAAGTGCAGGTGCGGCCGTCAGAGTTTGCAATTGTTCCACCCCTCTGGTGGATTTTTCCCAGGGATAGATATCTATAGATATATGATGTACTATATACATACATACTGTACATCATATAGCCATCACAATCCAGAAAATCCCACTGATTCATCGTGAATTTTCTAATATGGTGGGTGAAACGAGTCATTTCACGTTGCGGGTAAACGTTAGTTTGCCGAGTTGTGAACGAAGCTACCTATCCAGGATGACTAGTTGCCATGCTGTCAGGTGGCAGCCAAAGTAGCAGAAGCCCAAGGAAGAGTTCCTTGCTGGGGAACCCAGTTGATCCGTGGTGTGGATACCCAGTGAATCTGACGAAGGCAATTTGTCCAATTTGTTTTCTACGCATCTACCATTGATATACTAATGATATAATGGTGGATATACTAATGATATATATATATATAATATATATATATACCATTTATATATCCAATGGTGCATTTTCTCAAAAAACAAACTGATTCCACTTTTTCTGCACTTAGGATTATCAGACCAACAACAACGACCAATATAGGATAATGAAGGCGAAAAAAGGGGTTTCAAACCAGCAAACCTTGAAATATAATGGTGAACACAAGGATACGTCCAAGCTGACCCAGCAACATCTTTTTATCTTCAATCAACAAACACACACACACACACACATATATATATATAATATATAATTATATGTATACATATATATATATATATAATTACATACACATCAACACACATAATATGATCAACAAGCGTACACTTAGGAGGAATTCACCCAATAATAGAACTCTTGGCTAACCCCTGCCGCAGCACGAGCCGTTCACCGGCCATGGGTTCAGGTCCACATCGACGGAAGCGTCACAGTTGGGACACCCGGACAGTTGGACCACCTCAAGTTGAATCAACCAGATTTCACTTTAAACATTGATTCGCTGTGAAATTGATGGAGGCTAAATCTGAGGTTGATTGATTTCAATTTGTATCTAGAATCTGACTCAGAATAGCTCAAAACATCTTAAAACTAGGCTGATTCCTTAGGCAAGTTCCGGCTTTGGAAAGATCTGACCGTGGTCAGATCCTAGCTGTGTGAAGACCATTTGGTCCTCCCATGCACCCTGCAGGGTGGTCGCCCCCATCGAACTAGTTCGATATATCATGATATGTCTACAATACACCATAGTTAACCTACAGAACTAAACCAACATAAGCAACTTCGCCATCAATTATCATGTGGATGTCATCCACGAGAAATCGATCAATCGGCTGGTTCCAGCTATTGCTTCGCAGCCTGCTTCGCTGCAGGCTGGACGTATTATCACCCTCGTCAGAAGAGTTGGTGAACGTGGATGTGCCCAACCACTATTTGAACATCCACAGGCTGCTGATGGGCTCTCCTGGGTGATGCATCCCACTTAGTGGGTAATATACAACCATCTGAAATAACCCCCCATTAGATGAATCAACTATATTCCTAGTTAAAGTACGAATGGAAAACCAAAAAGGCACTTATAAACCAACAAAAAATCCCTTACGATGCCAGTTTAACAAATGGTTTTTAAAATATATCAGTTATAAGACGTTATAAGTTACAAAGGTATAGGAAAGCACTTGGACAATATTACGTCTGGTTTAAAGACATATGGAGGTTTCCTAAAATGGGGGTACCCCCAAATCATCCACTTTAGTATAGGAGTTTCCATTATAAACCATCCATTTTGGGAGTACCCCCATTTATGGATTTGGTTCATCCATTAAAACACCTATTTATTAGCATTAACATCACCAATCAATCACCAATCAATCACCATTAACATCACCATTAACATCCCCTCAGAAAGTGTTTCAGCCACCACTGACTAGACATATTTTCTAGGGATATTCCCTGAAATTTAGGCTTTTTTTTTTTGGGCTAGTTAAACCATGAAATCACCATGAAATCACCATGAAATCAACCCACCTGGAGGTCTCGCCCCACCAAGAGCGTCAGAGGAGGTGCCCCGCGTGGGACGGGACGAGTCGTGTTTTCCGAGGGCGAACAAAAAGGGATGTGACATGGGGATATTACTGGAATATATATGTAACACACATATATATATATATGTATACATGTGTTTATATCTATTCATATATACGTGTATATATATATATATATGTATACATATATATATATACATACATATGTATGTATGTCAGCTAATATATATATATATATATAAATACACACACACACATCCAACTTTATTTGAAATATGGGTACCTGAAAGTGCGATACCCCAAAATCCAGCGGTTCACCATAATTTCCGACCTTAACATGCCAGGAATTGGGGGGTACACCCAATTTTCAGACACCAGATAGAACTGGTTCAAGAATGGGATGCACAGAAGATCAACCTATCCTCATGCTTGGGGGTGCAGTTTGGGCTACAACCATGGTAAGGTTTCCCGAAGTATCATGATAGCAATTTGGGGGAGTATACTATGGTATAATCATTTTCAGACATTTTCAGACACACCCAAATGCAACATATTGTTGGTGATATACCCTCTGGTAATGACTAACAGTTCGCTATTGGAAATGGCCCAGTCGAAATAGTTGATTTACCCATTAATAGCATGGTGGATCTTTCCATAGTTATGTTAGTTTACCAGAGGGTATAACCACCATTTTCCTATGGTTTTCCTATGATTTTCTCATAAAACCACCATTTTCCTATGGTTTTCCTATGGTTTTCCTATGGTTTTCCAGTTCGTTATGTAAACGTTTACCACAGGGTATCCCGTGATATCCCCATTATCTGTTGTCCTTTACACATCACCGTCAGGTCCAGCGCACGTGCATGGCCGCTCCAAACGCTCCAAGCAGAAGGCCACAGATATTCTCGTCCACCAATCCCAGTCATAGCGACATCCTGTCAAGGTGGTGCCCCAGTTCGTGAACGCTAAGTTGGTGCAAATAAGTCCAATAAGTATGGTTGATAGGTGATATATATATATATATATGTATAGTGAATGGGATTACAAGCCATTTATAACTG